TACTTTTTTCAAATATGACAACGTGATGGGTATGATGTAACATTCTAAAAATAATTAAAAACTCTTTAGTGTACTTTTCTCAAACGTGACATGTGACGCTCTAATGTGGCGGGTACAATGTGACACTCCAAAAAATTAAAACCTCCTTAATGTATTTTTTTTCAAATTTGACTCTCCAATGTGACGGGTATGATGTGCCATCAAAAAATTTCTTAGTGTACTTTTTTCAAATGTGACAATCTAATTTGGTAGGTAAATGAGTCAATACACATAAAAAATAACTAAATAGATCACCAAAAAAAAATATAGAATTATATTGATTACAAGTCTAAAATATAGAACTTATTACTCAATCTTTCAAAAAATTAATGATAATTGAGATTAATTTTAAATAGCAGTATAAATTTTAAAAAGGATAATATGGAGTTGTTAAACCTTTTTCTTTTCAAATTACAATAGTTGAACACATAATGGTTACATACATGTAAAAAATAGTTAAATCCACAACATCAATCTATTTTAATTTTATTTTTATTTTTCGATTTAATTTTTTTTAAAGATAAATTACACTTTACACTCTTAAAGTGTTACTCAATTTTCATTTTGACATTTAAATTTTACATTTTTTTTTATAAAAAATTTGGTCCTTCAATTTTAAAAATTTTGTCAATATAATCTAGTTGGTAATGGTGCTTTAGTTTTTTTGACAAAAAATACCAATAGTATGCTATCTTTCATATCAAATTTAAAATCTGGCAACAATCCTTTTAAACTTATCTTTAATAATATATTATAACACTATCAAAATTTAATTATAACTCTTTTTTCTTTTTTTTTATTCTTTTGTTATCAGTCTAAAAAAATGACATTTATATTTAACATTTTATAAATAAAAAAAATTGCAGTGACACTAATAAAGCAAATTTGTTTAAAGATGATACTCTTACACCATAATATATTAAAATTTAAATTTGATATTATTATTTTAACATCAATTATTAGAGATGTGCTCATCACACAACTTGATAGTGGGTTGGAGGAGATAATTAAAAAACGAAAAAAATAAAAGAGAGATATAAAAAAGAAAAGAAAAAAAAAGAAAAGGGCACATGGATGTGCTTTTACAAGGGTGACGAAGGAATCAAATAATTTGAACTTAACTCAGGTTTAATTCATTAAAAACTTGTTTGAATTTAATTCGTTAGATAAATAAGTTAATTCTGAATATATTGTGGAGTTCGTTAAATTTTTTAAATCAAAGTTGAACCGTTAATTGCTCGTTTAACTCAATTTGCTAAGCTTAAAACTATATAAAAATATTAAACTAGTCACCTCGACTCGACAAAAAACATGTTTAAGATTGGCTAAAAAAATTTAACAAATCAAGTTTCAACAAATATTGAAACTCGTTAAAATTTGTAAACTAAACTTGAAAAATCAACTCTTGGGTTTGTTTGGCTCATTTATCGTCCCTACTTTTTACTCTATGTACACTAGGGATGAGCAAACATCCACCAATCTGTTACAAAATAAATGGTTTCAATGATTCAAGCGGACAGATGTAGATGCATTTTTTTCAATTTTTTTTAAGTTCGGATAGATGGTGGATGGGAGGCTACTAGACCCAATCCAATCTACCAACATTCTTAAAAAAATAAAGTTATACTTTTATACTTTGTGTGTTAAAAAAATGACTTTTATTTAATAATTATACTTGATATTTATGAAATATAAAAGTTGAGTATTTATTTTTATTATAAAAAATGAATAATCAAAAATTTTGAGCGCAAATTAGTGAAGAATTACTGAAAAATAATTCAAAAAAAAACCTAAAGACAATAAAACACAAACCGCTTAAGCTATATTTGGCATAAATTTTTGTGGTTAAAATAGTCATAAAAAGGTAAAATAAGTTAAAAAGTTAATATGACAAAATGTTACACCTAAATTATAACTATTTTATTTTTACTCTCATAAAAATTAAAAAAATTAAAAAATTCATTTCAAACGAAATTTTTTAATTTCAAATTAAAATAATCAAAAAAAAAAAATTTTTATCTCACCGCTCAAAACGAAAACTAAATCAATCTACTTGCATCGCCAACTTGTGCACTCTCGCTCAAACGAAGGCTAAATCAATCTACTTGCATCCCAACTTGCACTCTTCACTCAATTTGCATTTATTAATTAAGTGAATGTATATGAATTAAATATTTTTTTAATTCATTTAAATTCGAATAAATGAGGGATAAGAACGTGAGTGCTGTACCACTGCTTCATAGAGTTTTCAGACCTTTTGTACTGTGTGTCCCCACACGTGCGTGCGTTCGCAATTTCGGGAATCAAAATTCAACAAAAACAATTGTGAGTGTGTGTGGACCCTACCCTTTGCCAGTTGCCCTAAAAAATCTACCATCAATGTATAGTAGTCAAGTTTTTCAACGTCGCCAGAGTTGCACGTGCCAAACATTTCATTTGGCCCCACATTTTACCAAACTTGCTTTGGCCTCTTTTCTTTTGGGCTGGCTTTCCTCCGTCCGTGATCAGATTAGAAAATACTGTTAGGTCATGGAGGCCCATCAGAAGTCTTTTTTTTAATAATTTAAATTGTTTAATTTATAAAACTCGTTAAGTATTATATATTTATAAAAATTACGTTGATTAGATATCAATAGCTACATGATCAAATTAGTTTTGTATAAAAAATATAAATGGTGAAAAAATAAACGGTTGACAGAAATCTGATCTGACGAGATAGCTATCGATATCCGATCAACGTGATATTTTACAAACATATAATATTCGACAAATTCTACATATTAAATGGTTCGGATTATCAAAACGAGACCCGTAATTGGCCCCTACAAACTCAACAATACCCTCGAGTCCATGATCTGATTAGAGAGAAGCTTAGCCATTTTCTTTTTTTTTTGGAAAAAATTACAATTCAGTGTAGGTTTTCAAAAAATATTTCAAATTAAGATAAATTTTATTAATTTTAATAATTAAAGTTATAATATTTTTTCATAAATTTGTAAATATTTTGTGAAAATTCACTGGATTTGTTATTTTTTCTCTTTTTTTTTATAGTTAATTTTTAAGTTCTCAACTGATTTTATTTATTACTCACGTGTTTAATATCAACCTTTTGTGCTTAGAAAAATATATTTAAAATTTAAAATTATGATTAGTGTTTAGCGACCACACTTATAATAAAATTTGATACACACATTTTTAATTTCCTTTTAAAACCCATATAGTGATTTTTGAATGGGAATGTTTGAAAAAAAATAGGGTGAGTCCTTATAAAGAGATAATATGACTTAAAAAAGTCATAAAAATTAAAAAGTTGATTTTTAACTCAATTGTCAAAATAGAGCAATGACTTTAGTGTTAAGTTGACACTCTAGGTTGTTTCAAGAATAGTTGATTTTCTTGTAATAACTTCTTAGTTATTTTAATCTATTATCAAAATAATCTTGAATCTTACATTATTCTTCACTTCTTTTATATAGTTATATTGTGTTGAATGAGATTATTTCATTTTTACCCCTATACTTTGTCACATTTTTCAAAGATCTCCAAACTACTTTTTTTTTTACGTGTGTCCCTATACTATGTATATTCCTTTTAATTTTACCCCTGCTGTCTATTTCCGTCAAAGAAGTAGACGGAATGGGTGACGTGGCTCCCTATACTTTCACATGGAGGGAAAATTAGGGCTTCCCCCCCAAAACCTAACCTTTCCTTGTATTCCCTTCAACCTATAAAAACAGATACGACTGCAAAATAGAAGAAAAAAACAAAGCATTAATGAAATCAGTGGGAGAGAAGAAATGAGGAACGATTGAAGATCAAGAAATCAAGGTAGATGGAACACAAGTGGTGTAGATGAGATGTTTTGCAATGTTTGTAGAAGAAGAAGGTTGATACACACAGTATGGACCGACACAAATCCTGGGAGGAGATTTCTTGGTTGCCCTAACAGTGGTTGCAATCACTTTACCTGGATAGACCCATCTATGTGCGATCGGGCAGTGCAAATAATTCCTGGGTTGTTGAAGAAGTTGAATAAGATGGAAGCACAATTGAAGAGAAGGACTGGAAGAGAGAGGAAACTATGGATTTGCTTGGTTTTGTCATGATTGGTTGTAGGAATATGGTTTGTATTGCAAAGTTTAAAGTTGTATGGTAGTGTAAGAATGAATGAAGTCTGTATCCTGTTTATGAATCATATGCAATGGGTGAAGTGTTGTTAATAGAAAATATGTTTTTGAGATGAAAATTGTGTACTTGGTGACTTATTAATGTTGTCTCGATTATTTTGTGTTTGGTGACTCTGACATAGACAAAGGAAACATACAAAAGTAGGTACACAATCTGTGACCATAATTGTCACTCCAAATTCAATGAACAATGAACAATGAATATCAACAATTATGAACATCACCAATGAACATCATGACTTGGAAACGACAGCAGAAATACAGTAATTATCATTCAAACGTTGATTAGTTGACACACTTGTCATTTATGTTGTGCAAAACATATACTAAGAAAGGGGTAGCCAATATAAAAACTAGGCTTCAAATGTACAAAAAACCCTACCACTATGAAAGTTATGGAATATGAACAAAAGTAGCAAAAACATTCATATCCATTACATTGTATTCCATGAACAAAAGTAGCAAAAACCTTCTCCAACATTATAATAATTAAAAAAAAAAAAAAACAAAATACAATAGTGGTCATTCACATCCATTACTTTGTGTCAGCTGCATTTTTGGTTTGACCCATAACAGATTTGACAGCACTAGCACTGTACACCACTCTTTCTCTCCATCTCATTTGAGCTTGCAGAGGAATGTTAGTATTGGAAGTTACTGCAAACCGCTGCACATCCTGACTTGCATGCAATGGAGTTGAGTCACTTGTTCTCATAACCTTTCTCTTTTTTACTGTAATAGCCAGCATCATTGTTAGGACATATGCAAGGAAGACATCTGTAAATTAACAAATAGGGCCTTTGCAAAACTTACAGCCATCTTCTTTTTCCTAACTTGAGTTGCTTTTGTAATCTAACTCCCAACTAGGTTTCCTTTTACCTGACTTTGAGTTTGGCTCCCTTCAATTTGGGCCTGACATTGGCTTCTTTTATCCTGGGACTGCAAAAACTAAAAAACAAAAGTTAGCAATGTGTAAGTTAACAAAATGCATAAAAAAAAATATGAATTACTTGACTGGAACTCACAGGATCTTTCAGGTAAGTGAATTGGCCTTTGACTTTGCATGTCCTCTTGTTATGTCCCAACTTGCCACAATTCTTGCATGTCATCTGAGTTCCCCTCCTTCCCAGCTTAGTTGAATCAGTTGCATCAATTAGGACATCTGCGTTTGTCCTCTTATTCAGTTTTGGCCTCCTAGCTCTTTTTTTCACATCAGGTGGTAGCACTTTACCATATTGAGTTGTTGGCCACATTTGTCTACCATTGATTGGAGTCAACATATTCTCATAAATCCTCAAGTAGGTTTCAACTTTATAGTAATGATGTACATACTTTTCTGGTTCTTCACCCATATAGTTTGCAGCAGCCACAGCATGGACACAAGGAAGGCCTGACAGATCCCATTTCCTATATCCACAAGTCCATTCTTTCAAGTTCACCTTATATTGCTCACCATATGGGCCAACAACTTCATATTGGAAACCCTCATTCTATTTAGGAATCCATCCAGCTGCACTCACCTTTACTTTTTCCATAATCTTCTAAATCTTAGGACATATATCACTTTTGTTGTACCTTTTCATTGCTTTATTTCTTTTTTGAACTGTTTCCATCAATAAAACTCTTATCTTCTCTAACATGGACAGCATAGGTTGATCCCTGGCCTGCAATATGCTTGCATTGAAACACTCACAAAGATTATTCAACAAAATATCACACTTAGGGAAACTGTGGAAGTGACTCCTACTCCAATGGACTGGTGCTCTTCCAGCCAACCAATTGTATGCTTCTTCATCAACTTCTTTCATTTCTTCCATAACTTTGGTGAATACACCAACAATGCTTGCCCTGACTGCCTTCCATAACAAATCCTTCAATACCCTACCCTTAAATTGACCCTTGAAATTGTTGTACAAATGCCTTACACAGTGAGGCATTTGGAAAGAGCTCAGCCACTGCATCAATTAGGCCCTTCTGTTTGTCACTCATGAAAGTGTAACAATGAGAATTCACAATATTCAAGTCTTGCGCCAACAAATTCAGAAACCACAACCATGTTTTTTTCTTCTCTTTCTCAACAATGGCATAGACAAATGGGAATATACAATTATGTTCATCTATCCCCACTGCAATTAACAACAATCCACCATGTGGCCCCTTCAAATGACAACCATCCACTACAATGACTGGCCTACAAGCATTTTGGAAACTCTTCTTCAATGGACCCCAACACAAATACAATCTCTTAAACTTGGACATTTGCTTATCCTCTTTATGAACTTTTGGAACTCTTTTCACCTTGATGGAAATTGTTGTTCCTGGATTACTACTTCTAATGTCTTCTACATAACCCCAAAGCATTGCAAATTGTTCAGTTGTAGTACCCTTAATCATTGTGAGAGCCTTAATTTTTGCCCTTCTCACTTTTTGTAGGTCAACTTTGACATTGTGCTCTGTTGTAATGATGTCTGCCAATGACTTAATTGGCCAGGTAAGGTTCAACTTAATCCTTTCCCAATACCTATTGACAATCCATCTACTACTTACATGTGGCACATCAAATGTTCTGTTGCATGTTTGTTCATCTGCAAAAGTTTTGATCCTAAACACCCATTCACCCTTCACAAAAGAAGCATAGCAAACCCAAGGACAACCAGGTTTGCACTCTGCCCTAACCCTCTGTTTGTCACTCTTAGTAAATGTGATTTGTTTGCCCCACTTAATAGCATACTCCTTTACAGCATCGCTAAACAATATATTTGTTTTGAACTCCATGTCAAGTTGGAATGTAGGATTATGCATGTCACTCTCATTGAAAATGAGGTACTTAATCCTCGTGCAATGACTATCTTCATCAGAGGAGCTATGAAGACTTTTTAGCTCATCAGATGAGTTGTCCATGCTTTGTAGGTCATCATTGTCAGCCACATCACCCATAGCATCCTTACTACTTCCTAAACCACCAAATTCCACATCTTTGTCAACATGTTTATCATATAAAGCATCATCACCACCTTGCTCATAGTCACTATCATTATATTTTTCAGACTCATTAAAGGATAAGTCTGACTGGTTAGGATCATAGGCATCACTATCTTCATTTTCCTCCAATTCAGCGCATTACCCCCACACCCTTACTTGTTTCTCCACTTGAGCCTACTTAACTACTTTGTGTACTTACATAATCATCCAAATTGTGTCCTATATAAACATCTATTACTCTGTTTTCATTCACATATGTATCCAATATCAATACATCAACATCTGATTTTAGTAACTCCATCCCACTATAACCACTAACCTTACTGTAATAGTTATTACTTGGCCTATGTCCTAATTCCTTAGCCATGCAACACAACTCTGTAATGGAAATTGGATCTGAATGACAAAAGTCAAAATGACTTACCATACCACCACTGTAAACCATCTGTGGAATATACCTCACCACACCTTTATGATGCAATTTGATTATAAAATACCCAGATCCATCTTCTGCATTTCGTATTGGAAATGTGTCATTAACATTACTATTCAATGAACTCACAATGATAAAATCCTATTACATTACACTACAGATAGAGAAATAATAAACAAGTAGTCATCTATGTGAAATACAAACAACCAAAAAAACAAAGATTTCATATGTGCTCATCCATTTCAAACAAACATAAACAAAGATTTTCTTAAAGTAAAACTGTTCAAACCAAAACAAATATAAACAAATTTCATTAACAAATCCATGTCACATACAAATAAACAAAGATTTGACCATTCTAAAATAATATTAACATCAAACACATGCAATTTCCAACAACAACAAAAAATAACTTAAAAAAACATTAAAACACAAAAAAACTGTCACGACCCAAACCCGCCCTATGGGTTTAACACCGTAACCGGCCAGTAATCCGAGATTACCAAAGGCCTGCTTAACAGTCAGACAATAATACAGAGTACAGGGGCATGGCGGAAGCCAAAACAGTAAATGAACAATGTCCAATGAGCTGTGAGTCTATATGCAAAAAGATTTTTCGTACGTATATACATGAACAATACAGAACAATATGTACAATATTTACAGTCGATCAGAATAGGGACCTAATCCCTATTAGACAGTACAGTACAGTGCTATCAGTCTATACAGTTATTACAAAACAGATACAGAGACAGACGGGGGAAATTAAAACACCCCTAAGCCATAGCTTGACAGGCTCGGAACCTCGCAGTGAGACACAGTGGTTGGCTTGACAAAAAGGGAGTCTAACCCACGCTCCTAGCTCCGGTCTGGTGCCTGTACACCTACATATATATATAAACAGTGAGCTAAAACCCAGTGAATAACATAATGCGTAAAGAGGTTAAGAATGAATGTCCTTACAGTAATGAAAACAGTTCATTAAATCAGTATTTCAATCGTTCAGTCATAACAGTCATATGTGGTACATCCATTAACATAGCAATACAGTAAACAGTAGGTCTTAAAAGACCGAGCAGTCAATGATCGCCATCATAACAGTAAACAAAAGTTCCAAGATAGGAACTGACAGAGATCTCTATAACAGTAGCAGTAACAGTAACAGTAATGACTACCTAACAGTTCTTGCAATTGCACTTTTAATTCTTTCAGTTCAGTTGGAGCCATTCTGTAAGGAGCTTTAGACACTGGTTGTGTATCCGGAATCACATCAACGGTGAACTCAATCTCCCTGTCAATCAAATCCCCTGGCAGATCATCTGGAAAAACATCTGGGAATTCTCTAACTATAGGAATACAGTTCACGTCAGTTTTATCATCAATAGGTACAGTCAATACAGAACACAGATACCCTTTACACCCCTTCTTAATCAGTTTAAAGGCTTTCATAGAGGAAATCAGATATGGAGGAGGTACTACTCCAATCCCATTAAACACAAATTCAGGTAAACCTAGTGGATGGAAAACTACTTGTTTTGTTACATAGTCTGTGATATGTTCCCATTTCCACTTCGGTATGGGTAAGGGTTGCAGTAAGCCTGCGGGTCGTTGATGTTCGGCTTTGACTTGTTGGCAATGAAGACATTTCAATACAAAATCAGCAATTTCTTTCTTCATTTCCGGCTACCAGAAATTCAGTTTCAAATCTTGATACATTTTTGAATTCCCTGGATGGATCGACAATTTTGAATTGTGGTCCTCTTGCAGAATTCTTCTTTTCAGTTCAGAATCATTCGGTACACACAGTCTTCCCTGAAATTTCAGTACATTATTTTCAAATTTGAAACTCGGTCTCAGTTTAGATTCCCATTCTTCGACGATCTTCTTCAAGAAGTCATCTTGTTGCTGTTTCTCTTTAATCTCTTCAATCAGTGCCGGTTGAGCAAAAATAGCAGCTATTGTTTCACCTTATTCGCCATATCTTGGCTCCAATCTTCAACAATCCTCTAAATCATGCAAGAAATACTTCAATTCATGACTAAGAAGGTAAGAGCTCTACCTTATGTCTTCAATTATGAGAATATAAGCTCAAGTTTGCAAATTACTCTTCAATTCCTTCACTTCTACCAAGTTTCCAAGCCAATTAAAGATGAAATCACACTCTCTTCTAACTCTCTCTCTCTCTAGTTCGGTTGAGCTCAACAAAATAGCTGATGAAATGTGTTTTGATACAAAGAAAAGAGTCCCAAAAGTGCTAAGCTAGTGGCTCACTAGTGGTGGCAAAATGGTGAATAAACCAACTCATGCAATTTAGCTTATTTTAATCTAATTTAATCATACTAAATCACATTTCAGATAAATATGCCATAAAATCGCATAAATTCTAAGGATCATAGAACATTAATTAATTTCAGATTCGGCCGCCGATAAGGTTTTCAATTTGCAGTTTAAACATAAATACACAAACAGATAATCAAACAGGCAATAGATAGACATACAATTAAACAGATGTACTCAATCAATTTAGTTCCAGATTTCAGTCAGTCAGTTCAGTATTTCAGTCGATTCAATTACTTATCATAATCAGTCTCAGTTTAGCGGTAATTAGTAATCAATCGGTAAACAGTGGTGAGGGTTGTTACAGTCTCCCCTCTTTATAAAGAGTTTAGTCCTCTAAACTCAAGTTACCTTCATTTTGGAAAAAAACAGGATTCAGTGGAAACAGTTCAGGATATCTCTTGGCCATGTCATCTTCCCTTTCCCAAGTGGCATGCATGCCACCATGGTTTTGCTAGTCAACTTTCACTAACGGGATTTCTTTGTTCCTCAACTTTTTGATCCGTCTGTTTACAATCTGAACACGTCGTTCCTTGTAAGTGTAGTCATCACTCAGCACTATACGAGTAGGCTCTATCACATGGAAAGGATCCCGGAGGTAGTCTTTCAACATAGAAATGTGGAAGACGTTATGCATATGCTCCATTTCAAGAGGAAGCGCAACCTGATACGCCACCTGATTGATTTTCTCAATAATCTCATATGGTCCGACGTATCTCGACGCTAACTTGCCTTTGACTCCAAAACGAGTCTGGCCTTTCATCGGTGTCACTTTCATAAACATGTGATCACCCACTTCATATTCTCTATCCCGTCTTCTGACATCCGCATAACTTTTCTGTTGGCTTTGT